AACGCTTTAACCATCAGGCTACCCCACCGCCCCTCAAGAAATACAATACAAAGTGTGAAGGAAGATTGTCGTCCTCTTATTATTGAAAGGATTAATATACGACCCTAGAAAGCCATAATCATGTATTACTAAATTCAACCATTTAGATATCCTTTCATTAAAAACACAGTAAATATGAATTTCAACTGTTGCAAATAAACTCTAAACTGAATTTGAAATTGAGACTTAAGACTAAAGAATATACTAATTCATTAAAATATTAAAACATGATAACTCATAAACTTAGTGCAACACAAACTGCACAGTTATGTTGTCCATTTAGGATTTAGATTGTGAATGAAAAACATGAAATCATACAAATCTGTACACAATCTAAAATAAATTCGTAAACTGATATTTTAAATATCCATGAAGTGAATTGTACATTGGATTTTAATTTCCATAACTTCTTCTCATGTAATTTATTACATATTAAATTTGATCATTTGCGACCCTATGATGGATGCATCTCAGTCAGGTTCAATTGTTGGTCAAGATCTGATCCAAATTGCAAAATTTATTTCTCTTGAAATATAATATGTTTAAAACAAATGACCGAGAGGTAATTTGGAGCAGGTATCATCAGATGTGCATACAGGAAGATTGTATTTCAAGCATGCACACCTATATAGAAGAAGTCAGCAGCCATCACATCAGACTTATTCACATCTTCACCATGTGTTTGCTAGACCGATTCATTCAAACGCTCTTTCACTTTCTTTCGGAATCGATGAAGACAGCTGATGGTAAGCAAGTAAACCATATCAGTGGAAATGACCAAGCTGCGCTATTTTACATTTCTGGATATATTGTCCATGCTCTGCTAAAAAGAAGACAATAAGTGGCCAAAAAATCTAGGCTCTAATCGATAGCCTCCATACAAGGAGAACTACATTCGGACATTTTCCAGATGGACATTTGTGGCTTCTTCCGGGCATAGGGTATCTGTGGGTTCATCTCTAGAACTGAAAAAAAGGAGATACACAATATTAATATTAAAGAAAAAATAATATGAAGTGTTCTAAATACTTGTTAAACTTATGAATAGTTGGTTGCCAATGCTCTTTCAAACAAGGTCTATCTACTTACTCAAGATGGGAATATTGTACTTAATAGTAGGCTCTTTGAGTAGCCCTTCTGAAGAGTGCCGATGAAAACTTTCTTTTTCCTGGGCATCTACAAAACAAATGATAATTTTATGATATAAATATAATGTTGAAAAATGAGTTCATTTATCATTTTTATTTTTGCATAAGACAGGCTGTTGGTACTATCTAAGCCCAGGTAAACTCATAATCAAACTTCATTAGGAAGAATAATGATAACAGAAAAATATATTAATTGTAAGGACCTTTTCTACAAACATAATCATCACAATGAACAATAACGGAAAAAGTACATTTATTTTCAACCGATAAGGTTAATGAGATTTTTGTAGAATGATTTAAATATATATTCGGGTCATATTAACAAACAAAATGAATGTTATGTTGTATGCTACAAGGTAATTGAAATTTTCAGTATACGGCGCAAATAAGGGTTTACGTCAAAAATCTTAAAAAATAAAATACTGATCGTAGCCATATAAATTTGGTACCAAGCAAAAGAGGAAATCGCCGTGTATGTTGACATATTTATTTTAAAAATGCTAGTAGTAAACTATTCTTGTGAAAGCGTGCGAAAATCAAGTGTTGTGGAGTAAAATTTCGGAAAACATCATATTTCGTCGCATTGCAGCAGTCAAAATAAGGAATTATGCGACCGCCACAGACTTATAAATGCCACTAAACCAATCTTTATCTTATCTGCCTTTATTACACCCCGGTAACTAAGGATTTGTATTGAGAATTAGCAGCCGTTATTGAAAATCAAATAGGGACTTTCGCCGATTTTACACCTCCGCCATTGTTCTCACAGAACGAGCACACATGACAGTATTCATCAAATACAAAGACAAATATATGCTTTAGCACCCCTAATAAACCTCAGATGCACTGTTGCAAAAATAAGTATATACATGAGAATAAATGAAAAAAAATTACATCTTACCTTTACGCGAAATCGATGACTGAAGTGAACACACGTTTTCGCCAGCTTCAAGATAGGCTGCGCAGTACAAGCCGTAGCGCTGATGGTTTTGCGCATTGGCTCGAGGGCCGTCCCTCTATTATTGGTCTCTGGTAGCACCCATTAGGTTTTCCTAGATACTGTACTTACAAGAGTTACATGGCGCTCACATGTGTTACTATTTTAGGGAGGGAATCCCCGAATCGTCACAGGTCACGTGATTCAAAATGACGCCGCTGACATGCAAGGGGGACTTTTCTCTTGTTTGTAATCAAACGCGCATAAGAAGAGACTGGACTCACGAAAGCTTTTCGGCGCTATCTTCATAATTGTTTTACAGTGTTACATATATATTCTTCCACAACTGCGACAGTAAGGTCTATGACAGTACATATTTAGATATCAAACTGGCTGCATCGTTTGCTCTCCATCAGCTTCGATGACAGCACGTAGAGCCGTACAACCTATGTAAACAAAGGATCGCTACGCAAATCGAAATAGTGTTTCATGTTTTTGGATATTTTCTCAGTGAAACTAAACCATTCTATTAAAGATGTTTAGATAGATGTGTAGACTCGTCAAAAATAAAAGAGTAAAAGAAATCTGTACATTATATTGAATGGACATTGCAAGATGTGACGAATCGTCACATTTTTCTGGCCTGTGGCAGAGGTACAGGGTATTCAGCTTGACCTGAGCTACTCTTCATATGCATGACCCGGGAGGTCAAATGGCACAAACGGCAGGTCGAGTTAACTTCATTAAAAAGGGGAGAAGACAATTTTAATAATGTCTAAAAGCATTAATCGGAAACATTAAACCATCTGTAGCTTTTTTTAAAAGAAGTTAGGACATCGCTGACGATTTCTCGACACTGAGATGTCAAGCGCCGACCTTGTCTCGGCTCTTTGGCCCTGTTGACAATCAACTGACAAAGGTGCACCCCTTCACAATAATAGACCCAACCAGTTGTAACACGGTCACGCAATACATTAGTATTCACTTGATCAGGTCAAACTGAACACGCTGCACTATGCTGGCTTGCCGCATGGGACTCTGGGTAAGAGAGTGGGATCGACTGAGATGCTTGATAGCTTGCAAATAAACTCTGTCAAAAAAAGAAACGCAACCCCTGTATTTTAGAGATTTTGATCTGAAGTTTTAAGACGACACAGCATTTTTATTATTTAAGACAGAAGTCTGAAATTTGGCAGAATAATAACCAAGATGGGCATGTTTAAAATTGTCATTTCAAAAGTCATCTCACAGACACCAGTTTGTCACCAGGGGGGCGTCTTTCTCAGTATCTCGTATGAGCACCACGAGCTGCAATCACTGCACGGCATCTCCTTGGACAAGAACGGATAAGACGCCGGATTCTTTCCTGGGGGAATGGCTCTCCACTCCTCCTGCAGTGCAACGCCGAGCTGTTGCAGCGTCTGTGGCGGCGGCTGACGTTGACGTACGCGTCGACCCAGAGTATCCCACAGGTGTTCAATAGGGTTGAGGTCTGGTGATTTAGAGGGCTATGGCAAGACATTGACGTTGGAATTCTGCAGAAAGTTCATTGTTGCACGTGCAGTATGAGGCCGGGCGTTGTCTGGTTGAAAAATCTGTGTCTGTTGGTCAATAATCGGGAGAAGGTGAGGCTGTAATACGTGGTTGATGTAACGTTGGGCTGTCAGGTTCCCTTCAACGATCACCAAGTCTGATTTCTGGTTGTATGAGATGGATCCCCAAACCATAACGCTTTCTCCGCCAAATCTGTCCCCTGTCGGACGCAGATGGGCGCAAAACGTTCATGACGTCTCCTATACACACGTTTTCTTCCGTCGTGATGTTGCAAAAGAAAACGGGATTCATCAGAAAACCAGATGCGCCTCCAGTTTTGTAAAGTCCATATCCTTACGTTGTTGCACCACCTGAGTCGTCGGCGGAGATGTAGGGGCGTAGTACAGGTCCAACAACTGGTCTACAGGCACGTAAACCCGCTTCTTTCAGACGGTTCCTAATCGTTTGAGCTGACACTCTCCTCAAACCTGGTATTTGTGTGGCAGTCACGGTTGGTAGGGCATGCCGATTACGCAGGTGATGGACCCGGATGTACCGATCTTGAAGGGGGGTCGTGATTCTTGGCCTTCAACTTCTCGGGCGATCGTTGGTCAAATTGAAGTTGTTGTAGCGGCTCCAAAGTCGGGATATCGTTGTTTTGTGAACATTTAGGTGCCGTGCAACAGTTCCAAAACTTTCTCCGGCTTGAACACGACCAATGGCGATATTTCGGTCGGCAGCACTCAATCGTGGCATTTTTCACACAGCTTTTCATGCGACAAATGAATGAATATAATACGAAAGCACATGGGCTTTTTATACACCCCTACATTAACTGCCATTTTCATGATTTGCATGTGTTTTTTTTGTGCGAAGTCACCATGAGGGTCATTTCATGCGTTGTGACGGAATAAGCAATAAAATACACTTATGCGTACAAATGCAGTTGTTTGGATGGTAATCTTCATTAATTACGTGTATAATTTCAATACATTCGAATAACATTTAGTTTGGAAGCAATAACTTCATTCAAACGAATTTTTCATATCTGAGGACAGGGGTTGCGTTTCTTTTTTTGACAGAGTTTATTTACCTGTGGATATTTTGATAACGAAAACTTAAATGACTAAAATGTACAAATATTTAGCGTGTTTTCTGCCCTTCGCCACCCCGCTACCCATACCAATGTCAGACCCGCCATCCACAGTTAACATGTGGGTCAAGTTACTCATAGACTCATAGTGGTTGGCGGAGCAATACACAACGGCAGCCTATGTAATAAATGGCCATGTTTTCATTATCCTATGAATATTGTTTGTACATAAAGAATGAACACACAGTACCTGTTTCCAGAGTAACATCCTACCGATCTTGTCACCGGTTTCTGTAGCGAAGTTACTTGAGCCACCCTTGAGGTTGGCCACTGAGCCGGAACTTGATACAAAGGACAAGTTTAGTCGCGTCTTTCCTGTAGAGCGTGACCGGACAATAACCTTCCTTCTTGACCACAGTTGCTGCGTTTATAAACACCCGTTTATTATGCTGTCTCAGTGCTTTCACCCGGCTGAGACTTGATCTCATGGACTGCAAGCTTAAGTAATCAATAACTATCATAACAACGGTAATCTCTGATGACATTCATGAGTGTGACAAAGAAGGGTTCGCGACGTTTTTCAGTCCAGGTATATCTGTATATAAACTGTTTCACTAGGGCTAACAGCGTCTGTAATATCGTGAATCACTGTGCTTGTCAATGCTTTGATCTTGAGCAAAGTTGGGAGTGGTGGTGTTAGCCCGGTGGTTAAAGCATTTGTTCTTCACGACGAACACCCGGGTACATGAGTACAGGTCCGTCCCTGGTGTCCCCCGCGGTGATATTGCTGAAAGCGGTGTAAAATCCAACTCTCTCATTCAATAATAGTAACACCGCCTGATGCATTTCTCTCCCGTTCCTGCTTGTGGTATTATCAATACATGCACTGGAATCTGTCACAAATTGAGTTTAAGTAAAATGGAACCAGTCTCCTTATGGCCCTTTCAACCAACTTGATTAAATAAATCCGGTGCTTACCACTGTACATGTACCATCGTCTGTGCTATAAAACCACACTTTCAGTTCAGTTCATTTATTCACTAAAACCACCCACAGTGGTACATAGTACAGTTATACATGGGTAATGTTATATTGATACGAGACAATATCATTGAAGTTTTGAAAAATTTACATATACATGTAATATATTTGCTTAGCTTATCAAGAATTGTGTAATGTCTTTCTATAAAAAGACTATGCAATTCAAACTAATTAGGTCTTGTACAACAATACTTTGGTAATAACTTGTTTCTATCTGCTAATAAAGAATAACTCTAAAAAATATAGTGGTACTCATCACCCACTTCACCAGTTATACATCAAACACTTTCGGTCATTAAAGGGGACATGATGCCAGCGTCCTACTTTGACAGGAAGCCTAGTATTACCAGTTCTAAACTTCCAAAGAGGCTGTGAAACTCTAACTGATAATAAAATGTAGTCTTCAGCACCAAAAAAACGGTTTTATACAATCATAGGTTTTATTTTTGGACCATAAAAAGTTTTCATGTTGCCATTGTGTTATAAACTGATCTGTTAGAATTTGTTCATCTTTACAGAGGAGCCAATTCCTATTAATACAATTCTGATTATACCAGATATATGATAAACCACAATTATCTAAAACAGATTTAACATAATGTAGCCAAGCTGGCAGGTATGCAGTACAATTGTCAACTGCTAATAATTTAGTGTACACTTTACGTGTAAGTTTATCTTGGTTTCCATTATCTAAAATTTTACATCAGAAGGATAATAATCTTTTTTTTCATAATAATACTAGTACTTAAAGGCAGGCGTCCCGTTTCTCCGTATAACATATATGCCGGGGTACCTTTACGTAGATGAAAACCCTTCTTAATGAACGATCTATGAACTAATTCTAACTTTTCAAAATTACTAGGGCCCATATCTCACAACTATATAATAATATTGGTACAACCATATGATCGAATGCTTTAAAAAAGACAGTCTGGCGGTAAGTGTACATTTCTTGCTTTAGCTAACAACCAAAACATTGCTTTCAGGCCTTGTTCTCTTAAAGATTTTATGGCAACATTAAATTTCCGATTCTTAAGAAAATTTATTCCAAGGTATAAGTATCAGACATGTTCAAAGGTACGTCAACAAAATATAATTTTTGACAATTCACGCTTGCAGAATGCTTTAGTCTTTTCGATATTTAATTTTAACTTCCACTTTACACAATATTCTCTAAAGACATTAATACTACGCTGTAACTCATCCGGACTTTCAGCAAATAAGACCATGTCATCAGCATACATCAGTACAAAAATCTTTACATATCCAAATATATCATCAATTTCTACGCCATCACAGGAATTAGTAGCTGAATATGATTCAACGTCATTAGTAAACAGTGAAAAAAAGGAGAGGTGATACGTTTTCTCCCTGGCGTACGCCTTTTCAACTGTCAAAATAGGTAGTTATATCCACCTGTTGAAACACAAGATATTATCATACATATTATAAATAACCTTTACAACTTTCCCAGTAATCCCGTGTTTAATGAGTTAATGGCAAAGTCCCACACGCCAGACATTATCAAAAGCATTTTGAAAGTCTATAAAAAAACACACCATATAACTTTTTATTCTTAGATTTAAGTATATCAATTAATCCATTTAAAACAAAAATATTATCTGAAGTGGAACACCCCTTTCGGAAAATTGCCATACCACTGTAAGCCATTCACAGTTCACGTATGGATCAAATGTCATGTTCTCATTTCGCCTACATCCCAATTCGCCTACAGTCTTCAAACAACATTTCATGGTCTGTTGACTGTTGATTACGCAATGGTAAACTAGTGGCACCCCTATGATCTAAAAGTGGACTCTTCCAGTTGAAGTATTTGAAGGACATAAGTACATGTACATTTTTAAAGAATTTATTTCTGTTATTTGTCTGTTAATTGTTTACTCTGTTATTTGTCCATTTTCCGATCACCATTTTCCGAACTCGTTGATCCTATTGTTTGTAAACAAACATGTCGGAAAAAGATACCTTTTGATGAATGTTTTACCGTAGACAACCACACTTGCTTATACGCATCTTCTTGTTTACATTTAACTGTAATTTTTAGGTTAATCAAATTTTCAAAATTTTGGGAATTCCAGATATAAGTAAGTCCAATTTCGTCCAAAAAATATTTAATATTCATTATCCTTTTATGCTTACTTTTTCCAAAATGTGTGTCGTTAAAAAGTAATTAAGACGTGAGTAAAGATCATTTGGAAGATTTATCCAATTAGTATGGTACTGACCAGTGAGTCAGGTCCATTACAAGAGTAGGGGTGCATTTTCAATCCCAATTAGCTTACATCGTTTTTGTATGCGAAATGGGATGTAGGCGAATTGAGATGTAGGGGCATAAAGACTAAACCGATCAAATTACCTGTTGTCGTTAACTGGAGCGACACACGGTGGAACCCTAAAATATACAAACATGTACTGACTTCTTTTTAAAAAAAATTCTTTTTATTCATTTCAGACATGTACTGACTTTAGTCTGAAATTTATGAAAATGACACACTAGCCTGGTTTGTTTCACTATTCTCATATTTGCTACACTGGATTAAAGCAGAAATTAATGGCGCCCTTTATGCCAATCCTAACGAAATACTAACTGATAGAGCCTTAGTTTCAGTATCCTATTAGTATGATTGCTGCGAGTAACACAGTACCTGTTTCCAGGGTAACGATGACCGGTTTCAGGAGCGAAGTGACTTGCGGTTGACCTTGACACAAAGAGCACGTTCTGTGGCTCATACTCATAGCTTCAGTGAGTGGTCTGCCGGTGTGGACAAAAGGCTGATTGTAAGCACAAAGGCCTATTTAAATGATTATTTGCAGAATACCGCCGGGACAGCAGAACAAACACAAATGGGTTGTATTCGTGTATAAGGATTGATTCCTCAGCGACTTTACCCTCTCTTGATTTTGACAACCAGACAGTGAATAATCAGACTGCATTGTCACAGCGAAACTTACGTCGCTTTGTATACATACCCCCACCCCCACCCGATACTACAAACAGCTGCTGACGCCTGTCCAACGTCGCTCCGGGTCATGTCCCATTAGTCCTACTCCCTCTAGTCATACAGCAAATGAGGGAGTAATTAAAACAACAACAGGCATATACCCTTTGCGCAAAATGACTAGCCCGCTAATTAGAGAGCTTGACGTTAGTTTAATCTCTAACACTGAGAATGCCACAGTCTTTGGTAATGAAAACATATAAACGAATGTTATTAAAGTATATTACATTGAAGTGATATGAACATAATACACCAAAACTGTTGATAATCAAAACATTTAATCAATGTTAAACTCTACTGAGTTTGATTGAGTTTACTCAGTCTCGTCAAAAAAGCATAAACTAGTTCATAAAAGTTCCATGTTATAGACTCTAGCATATCACTCCCCGATTGTGGGACCAACTTGAAGCAGCCAGAAAATCTAAGTTCAGTTTCTGGATGTTGTTGGCTTCCTCTACCCAACTGACAATTAATGGCGAAACTGTGACTTTAAGTTATTTAAGTTTTTGAAGTTATTTAAATAAAGAATAATGTGTTAATGATACCGTTTAAGTGTACAGAGTATGTATGTATACTATGTTCAAGATCAGATTATGCATATATACCATGCTGAAGACAGATTATTTAAGTTCACTGATGTGAAGCTGTATTTTTGTTTCTTGGACCATTCCACTTTATTTTTACAAAGGTATTACAAAGGTAGTTGTTGGTGCAGTCAACCATACCATATGTTGTTTTAACCCGTATGACTAGTGGGACGTGCTCTGCACATGTCATAATCCGGAATTTTGATTTGTTTGCTTGAGGGATCGATTCCACTTCTATGTACTTGTTGATAAAAGAAAACAAATTCTGGCCAATGTGTATGATCAAAGCCAGGTCACCTGAGTATGATCAAAGCCAAGTCAAAATGTTTAATCGAAGTCTGATAACTGGGTATAATCAACGAATGGTCATTGTGTTTGATCCAAACCTTGTCATTGTGTTCGATGAAATCTTGGTCATTGTGTTTCATGAAAGACTTGTTATTGTGTTTCATGGAAGACTTGTTATTGTGTTTGATCAAAACCTTGCTATTGTGTTTGATCAAATCCTGGTCATTGTGTTTGATCAAAACCATGTCATTGTGTTTGATCAAAACCTTGTCATTGTGTTTGATCAAAGCCTTGTCATTGTGTTTGATGAAAGCCTTGTTATTGCGTTTGATCAAAACCTTGTCATTGTGTTTGATCAAAACCTGGTCAAAACCTTGTCAGTGTGTGATCAAAGCCTTGCGTTATTGTGTTTGATCAAAACCTTGTCATTGTGTTTGATCAAAGCCTGGTCATTGCGTTTGATGAAAGCCTTGTTATTGCGTTTGATCAAAACCTTGTCATTGTGTTTGATCAAAATCTTGTCATTGTGTTTGATCAAAACCTTGTCAGTGTGTTTGATCAAAGCCTTGCTATTGTTATCAAAACCTGGTCATTGTTTGATCAAAACCTTGAAAAAGCCTTG